CCTACTCAATTAGCTTTCTTTGTTGTGAAAATGTAATGGCTAATATAATTTTTATTGTGCTCTATAAAAATAAATTAAGATTTTTAACTGACCAACTAAAATAGTACTTATCTAACTTAGCACTGTCATTCCCATCAGAGAACTTTAAGCAGAAATCCAAAAACAAAACTTTCCATTAAGGTAGGAGCAATGTTAAAACACTGCATACACTGGCTAAACATAAAACCAAACAAAAAGTTTGGATAAAATCTCAACTACACCATCAAGCAAAATAATTTAAAAAAAAACAAAAATTAGTACATTTTTGAAAAAATAGAAATTATATATATAAAAAAAATCGACACATCGACATTTATTGCAATGATTACATATAAACAAAAATAAAGGAATAAAATTAATTAAAAATAAAAGAAACAAAACTTTTTTTTGGTCTCAAATTGTTAATACATCTGCTGGTAAAGGATTAATAGCAGATTAAGATGTATATCATAGATCCCCAATAATCCAGTCTGCTATTAGTGACTCAGCAGATAAGCAAATAATCCTCACATAATAGCGATGCACTTTCTGATCATCTAGCTCCAACTTTTGAGTCAGCTGGACACCAAGCAGGTCTTCACCACCCAAAATTCTTTACAAAAATGGTTTCTGCTTTCTATTAACACTACGAAATAGGGAATGGTTTACTGAGACATTCGATCCAGACAACACATTATATATGGACTTGTCTCTGGGCTACGTAGCTTCTAACTTCTGCAACTGCTTCATTCAAGATAGAATGTCTATGTTTATTTCATGCTGTAACAGATTGCAGGCTTAGGGCAATCCTCTGCATTGCGAAGGTCACCAGATTCACCTGCTGTTTGGTGGTTTTTTTTTGTCCAGCCAGTCCATAGTGTGGTTTGTGACTGCTTTTAATTTTGAATCCAGAAAACCAACTGACACATTCAGGGTACGCCGAATAAGGAAGTCTGTCATGCCAGGACACCTTTCTGAAAAGATATTGTTGGGTGGTGCGGAGCTGGTGGCAGCCAACATGTCATTACTGGGGCGAGACAGATCTCCAGATATCTGTCTATCTGTCTATCTGGAGTACTAGGACAGCCTATGTAGAACAATAAGGGCTTTGTCAACCTCCAGATGCCGATTAAATACATCAGTCCGCAAATAATGTTTCAAGGATTTTTCTTTTGTCTGTTAATCTTAATCTTCCAGAACAAAGGTGCCTATTAAAATATAGAAAAGAAAATTTTTTATTTACAAAAAAAAGCACATCTGAATGTGTGTTTATGTGTGTCTGTATCTCTCTGTCTCAAATATATATACATATATAATATATAAAATTAATAAGTATATAAATAAAGTTAACCCTTACAATATTAAGATTTGATTTCACTGCAATCTTGTAAATGAGCCACACCCATGGCCCAGTCAACAGATCTTTGATAAGTCCAAGTGCTGGCAGTTCTAATAGAACTTGATGGATGTTAAGATCTTTCCTTAAGTCTTTGCATATATTGTTCCCATAGGTTTAAAAAAAGTTTACAACAGATATTAAATAATACATGTAAAGAAATCTACATCTTATAATCACCTAGTGACAAAATCCAATAGCAGTTTTTTTATGCTGGATGATGCAGCCAGTCAAGGAGAGCATCACATGTAGTTTGTCCCCAACATTATAGCCCAAGGTTCCAGCAGATCTATCTTGAAGGCTGCAGTTTTCCCATGTTAGCTCTACATAAATAAATAAGAGAAAATGGTATTTAATCTTAATAGCAATTAATGCTAGAGAACAAAGTAAGAGAAAATCTATTAAAACAAAATAATTACAGGATAATTAAAAATAAGTGTTTAATAAAATGAACATACATGAGCATTGAAACATTACACGCTCTGCAGCTGTGCCGATTGTCCCTGAAGCTGATGTTAACTTGATCTTTCTGTCTAAGCTGGCAAAACACTCCCTGGCTTTTGATCCCACTGTCTAACAGGTGTATGTTGTAATTGGTTTAACGGGTGTATGTTGTAGTTGGTTTAACGGGTGTATGTTGGAGTTGGTTTAACGGGTGTATGTTGGAGTTGGTTTAACGGGTGTATGTTGGAGTTGGTTTAACGGGTGTATGTTGGAGTTGGTTTAACGGGTGTATGTTGGAGTTGGTTTAACGGGTGTATGTTGGAGTTGGTTTAACGGGTGTATGTTGGAGTTGGTCTAACATTTGTATGTCCCAGTTGGTCTAACATTTGTATGTCCCAGTTGGTCTAACATTTGTATGTCGCAGTTGGTCTAACATTTGTATGTCGCAGTTGGTCTAACATTTGTATGTCGCAGTTGGTCTAACATTTGTATGTCGCAGTTGGTCTAACATTTGTATGTCGCAGTTGGTCTAACGTTTGTATGTCGCAGTTGGTCTAACATTTGTATGTCGCAGTTGGTCTAACATTTGTATGTCGCAGTTGGTCTAACGGGTGTATGTCGCAGTTGGTCTAACGGGTGTATGTCGCAGTTGGTCTAACATTTGTATGTCACAGTTGGTCAAACATGTGCATGTCGCAGTTGGTCTAAAGGGTGTATGTTGCAGTTAAACTGAATCAGCTCATTACCCAACTCTTTTTGCAGCATTTCCAACACTCATGTGGGGTCAATGTATGTATACGTGTGTCACCATACTAAGAATGTATGGTAGACAATGTATGTAGAAGTCTGAGATATTTTGTCTGAGATATTTTGTCTGAGATATTTTGTCTGAGATATTTTGTCTGAGATATTTTGTCTGAGATATTTTGTCTGAGATATTTTGTCTGAGATATTTTGTCTGAGATATTTTGTCTGAGATATTTTGTCTGAGATATTTTGTCTGAGATATTTTGTCTGAGATATTTTGTCTGAGATATTTTGTCTGAGATATTTTGTCTGAGATATTTTGTCTGAGATATTTTGTCTGAGATATTTTGTCTGAGATATTTTGTCTGAGATATTTTGTCTGAGATATTTTGTCTGAGATATTTTGTCTGAGATATTTTGTCTGAGATATTTTGCCTGAGATATTTTGCCTGAGATATTTTGCCTGAGATATTTTGCCTGAGATATTTTGCCTGAGATATTTTGCCTGAGATATTTTGCCTGAGATATTTTGCCTGAGATATTTTGCCTGAGATATTTTGCCTGAGATATTTTGCCTGAGATATTTTGCCTGAGATATTTTGCCTGAGATATTTTGCCTGAGATATTTTGCCTGAGATATTTTGCCTGAGATATTTTGCCTGAGATATTTTGCCTGAGATATTTTGCCTGAGATATTTTGCCTGAGATATTTTGCCTGAGATATTTTGCCTGAGATATTTTGCCTGAGATATTTTGCCTGAGATATTTTGCCTGAGATATTTTGCCTGAGATATTTTGCCTGAGATATTTTGCCTGAGATATTTTGCCTGAGATATTTTGCCTGAGATATTTTGCCTGAGATATTTTGCCTGAGATATTTTGCCTGAGATATTTTGCCTGAGATATTTTGCCTGAGATATTTTGCCTGAGATATTTTGCCTGAGATATTTTGCCTGAGATATTTTGCCTGAGATATTTTGCCTGAGATATTTTGCCTGAGATATTTTGCCTGAGATATTTTGCCTGAGATATTTTGCCTGAGATATTTTGCCTGAGATATTTTGTCTGAGATATTTTGTCTGAGATATTTTGTCTGAGATATTTTGTCTGAGATATTTTGTCTGAGATATTTTGTCTGAGATATTTTGCCTGAGATATTTTGCCTGAGATATTTTGCCTGAGATATTTTGCCTGAGATATTTTGCCTGAGATATTTTGCCTGAGATATTTTGCCTGAGATATTTTGCCTGAGATATTTTGCCTGAGATATTTTGCCTGAGATATTTTGCCTGAGATATTTTGCCTGAGATATTTTGCCTGAGATATTTTGCCTGAGATATTTTGTCTGAGATATTTTGTCTGAGATATTTTGTCTGAGATATTTTGTCTGAGATATTTTGTCAGAGATATTTTGTCAGAGATATTTTGTCAGAGATATTTTGTCAGAGATATTTTGTCAGAGATATTTTGTCAGAGATATTTTGTCAGAGATATTTTGTCAGAGATATTTTGTCAGAGATATTTTGTCAGAGATATTTTGTCCAGAGATATTTTGTCCTGAGATATTTTGTCAGAGATATTTTGTCAGAGATATTTTGTCCTGAGATATTTTGTCCTGAGATATTTTGTCCTGAGATATTTTGTCTGAGATATTTTGTCTGAGATATATTGTCCTGAGATCATTTGTCCTGTCACCGTTAGATTATGTTATGTCCAAGTGTGTATCGCCATACTAAGAATGCATGGTAGATTATGTATGTACAAGTGTCACCTTTCTAAGAATGTATGGTAGACTATGTATGTAGAAGTGTGTCACCATACTAAAAATGTATGGTAGATTATGTATGTACAAGTGTGTCACCATACTAAAAATGTATGGTAGACTATGTATGTAGAAGTGTGTCACCATACTAAAAATGTATGGTAGATTATGTATGTACAAGTGTGTCACCATACTAAAAATGTATGGTAGACTATGTATGTAGAAGTGTGTCACCATACTAAAAATGTATGGTAGACTATGTATGTAGAAGTGTGTGTCACCATACTAAAAATGTATGGTAGACTATGTAGAAGTGAGTGTCACCATTCTAAGAATGTATGGTGGACTATATGTACACATGTGTGTCACTATACTAAGAATGTATGGTAGATTATGTATGTCCAAGTATGTCAGTAGAACAAAGGATTTATGGTGGACATTGTATATACGATAGCCATTGTTTCAACATACAAAGGATTTATGGTCTACTATGTATGTGCAAGTGTGTCAGTATTACATGGAATTTATGGTAGACAATGTATGTACAAGTGTTAATATGAAAAAATAACCGCAACAACAAAACTAAGAACAAATTTGAATATGAATTAAATTTTTGTACAAGAACTTCTGAGCATGAAGACATTGTCAGAGAAATCACAGTATGTTAAGTATCACCAAATAAGGAAACTGGTAGAGAATCTATGCACAAGAGTTTCTTAACAAGAGAATAGTTCAAGAGGGCAAATAGAAGAAATGTATGTTCAAGAATAAAATAAAGTGCTGTTTTTAATAAATATATAGAAAGAGAAAAATAAATTGTAAATAGTTGCAAAACTTTTGTACAAGAATTGTCAAAAAAATAAGTAAAATTATGATAGATAAGTTACCAGACAGACAGACAAGCTACCAGACAGACAGACAGACAAGCTACCAGACAGACAGACAGACAAGCTACCAGACAGACAGACAAGCTACCAGACAGACAGACAAGCTACCAGACAGAGAGACAGACACGCACAGGCAAGACACAAGGTACCGCGCACAGGCAAGACACAAGGTACCGCACACAGGCAAGACACAAGGTACCGCGCACAGGTAAGACACAAGGTACAGCGCACAGGTAAGACAAGGTACAGCGCACAGGTAAGACACAAAGTACCGCACAGGCAAGACAAGGTACCACACAGGCAAATCAAGGTACCACACAGGCAAGACACAAAGTACCGCACAGGCAAGACAAGGTACCGCCCACAGGTAAGACAAGGTACCGCCCACAGGCAAGACACAAGGTACAGCACACAGGCAAGACAAGGTACCACACAGGCAAGACACAAGGTACAGCACACAGGCAAGACAAGGTACAGCACACAGGCAAGACAAGGTACCACACAGGCAAGACAAGGTACAGCACACAGGCAAGACAAGGTACCGCACACAGGCAAGACACAAGGTACAGCACACAGGCAAGACACAAGGTACAGCACACAAGCAAGACACAAGGTAAAGCACACAGGCAAGACACAAGGTACAGCACACAGGTAAGACAAGGTACCACACACAGGCAAGACAAGGTACCGCACAGGCAAGACAAGGTACCACACAGGCAAGACACAAAGTACCGCACAGGCAAGACAAGGTACCACACAGGCAAGACAAGGTACCACACAGGCAAGACACAAAGTACCACACAGGCAAGACAAGGTACCACACAGGCAAGACAAGGTACCACACAGGCAAGACAAGGTACCACACAGGCAAGACAAGGTACCACACAGGCAAGACACAAAGTACCGCACAGGCAAGACAAGGTACCACACAGGCAAGACACAAGGTACCGCACAGGCAAGACACAAAGTACCACACAGGCAAGACAAGGTACCACACAGGCAAGACAAGGTACCACACAGGCAAGACACAAAGTACCACACAGGCAAGACAAGGTACCACACAGGCAAGACAAGGTACCACACAGGCAAGACAAGGTACCACACAGGCAAGACACAAAGTACCACACAGGCAAGACAAGGTACCACACAGGCAAGACAAGGTACCGCACAGGCAAGACACAAAGTACCACACAGGCAAGACAAGGTACCACACAGGCAAGACAAGGTACCACACAGGCAAGACAAGGTACCACACAGGCAAGACACAAAGTACCACACAGGCAAGACAAGGTACCACACAGGCAAGACAAGGTACCACACAGGCAAGACACAAAGTACCACACAGGCAAGACAAGGTACCACACAGGCAAGACAAGGTACCACACAGGCAAGACAAGGTACCACACAGGCAAGACAAGGTACCACACAGGCAAGACAAGGTACCACACAGGCAAGACAAGGTACCACACAGGCAAGACAAGGTACCACACAGGCAAGACACAAAGTACCACACAGGCAAGACAAGGTACCACACAGGCAAGACAAGGTACCACACAGGCAAGACAAGGTACCACACAGGCAAGACAAGGTACCACACAGGCAAGACAAGGTACCACACAGGCAAGACAAGGTACCACACAGGCAAGACAAGGTACAGCACAGACAAACCACAGCACAGACAAAAATAGCCTACAATTTATATTTAAAAAAAACAAGTTTAAATTTAAATAATAGAAAGTATAAAATTTGTATATAACAAAACAATAGAAGGAAAAAAGTAATAAATCAATAATAAAAAAAAAAAAAAGAAAAATCAACACCAAATAAAAGAAATATGTAGACCTTTTAGTTATTAGAAAAATAAAACAATTATAAAAAGAGTAAATTAAAAAAAAAGTATAAATTTTGAATATAAAAAATAGATAAAATATAGAACAAAAAATTAATAGAAAAATGTAGTATAAACTTTGAAAAAAATTCAATTTTCGTTTAGTCAACTTAGAAAAATATGATGTTTTCTCAACACCACTAAGAATTGTTTACTTTATTGAAGAACAAAAAAATAGCAAATTTTTTTGTTTTATTTTTTGTTTAGTATACTGAATAGAGAATAAAAAACAGCAAAATAGAGTACAAAGTTTGAAAAAACTTTTTGTACAAGAAAATGTCACCAGAAGAAAAAAATTGATGTTTTTACAACATCACAAAGAATTGATTTCTTTGTTAAAGAATTGATTACTTGTTAAAAAATTGATTACTTTATTAAAGAATACATTAACAGCAATTTTTTTTGCTTTTTTTGTTTTTGTTTTTTTTTATGAAAAAGATTGCAAAATAGAGTACAAAGTTTGAAAAAACATTTTGTACAAGAACTTGTGAACTTATTAAAAAAAAAGATGTTTTCACATCAAAGAATTGATTACTTTGAAGAATAAATTAACTGCAATTTTTTTTGTTTTTTGTTTTTTATGAAAAAGATGGCAAAATAGAGTACAAAGTTTGAAAAAAATTCAATTTATGTACATGGACTTATAACATCAGAAATTAATGATGATTGACATAGTATCAAATTTTGTCAACATGGTTAGTAAAATGAGGTAGAGATTTTATGTACAAGGGTTTTCTTAACATGTCAGCACATGCAAGCCACAGAGTGCGGCACAAGCCACAGAGTGCGGCACAAGCCACAGGGCAAAAGCCACAAGGCACATCACAAGGCACAGCACACACAAGGAACAAGGCACAAGGCACAGCACACACAAGGAACAAGGCACAAGGCACAGCACAAGGAACAAGGCACAAGGCACAGCACAAGGCACAGCACAAGGCACAGCACAAGGCACAGCACAAGGCACAGCACAAGGCACAGCACAAGGCACAGCACAAGGCACAGCACAAGGCACAGCACAAGGCACAGCACAAGGCACAGCACAAGACACAGCACAAGACACAGCACAAGACACAGCACAAGACACAGCACACAAGGCACAGCACACACAAGGCACAGCACACACAAGGCACAGCACACACAAGGCACAGCACACACAAGGGACAGCACACACAAGGCACAGCACAAGGCACAGCACAAGACACAGCACAAGACACAGCACAAGGCACAGCACAAGGCACAGCACACACAAGGCACAGCACAAGACACAGCACAAGGCACAGCACACACAAGGCACAGCACACACAAGGCACAGCACACACAAGGGACAGCACACACAAGGGACAGCACACACAAGGCACAGCACACACAAGGCACAGCACACACAAGGCACAGCACACACAAGGCACAGCACACACAAGGCACAGCACACACAAGGCACAGCACACACAAGGCACAGCACACACAAGGGACAGAACACAAGGGACATCACAATAAAATATTTAAAAAAGAACGTTTAAATAATTTAAAAATTAAGTATACAATTTTCAAATAAAAAACTGACCTAAAAAAATAATTGGAAAAGTAAAGTAAAAAAAAAAACTACTGAAAAAAATATGTAACCTTTTAATTTATAAAATAATTAAAAAAATAAAACATAAAAAAATGTGAATATTAAAAAAAAATTGTGGAAAGTTTTTAAAAAAGAAAAAAAAATACAAAAAATAATAGAAAAAATAAATAAGATCAACAAACAAAAACAACAAAAAAAAAACAGCAAAATGAACAGCCCTCCTGAAAATGAGCTCAGTTGACCCTGCAACCAGTTTTTTATGGAAACAGAAGAGGCATGGAGCTACCCATACACTTGGAAGCAGAAGCTTCAAATGAAGCTGGATGTTAGTAATGTAATGTACATGTCAACAGTGTGTAGGCCTACTATTAATTTTCAAAAAAACTTTTTTCAAATAAGTAAAATATAGAAGCATATCCCAATACTATAAAATTAAATTAAATTTAAACCTATCAACATAAATCATTTTTCAACATGAAAATTTTTAGTGTTTGCTTTTCATTTTTTAAAACCCTTATCTAAATTGCAAATCAAATTTTCTGAAATTTCTAAGCAATGACTGATCAGAATATATTTTTACATGGGGGGAGGTCCTACTTAACATTTCTTTTAACTGACATAAGGAAATTTAGAAAATATTTTTCTTATGCATCAACCAAATTGGTAATTAAGAGTTAATTAAATGTGTTTTCTCATACTATTTTGCCCATCGCATGCTCTACAACTTCAGTAACTGTCCTTGTGAGATCCTTGCAAGCAACACAAGTATCTATAGTTGAGGGCAGAACTGAATCAGTTGCAGAGACTTATAACTTATTTGATGAAGGTATTTGCATCTCAGTGCTCCATTTCATAAACACTCAACACCTCCACTCAAATAGTGGACAGAGGTCTCTACCACTGATTCAGTGATTCACTTTCAACCACAGATAAATGCACTGCATTAAAAAACCACACAAAAACAAGTTTAATCTGTCATGGAGAGAATGTAATGTACAAAGCAGCAAAAGACTACCCAAAACAGACTACTAAATTCCCAATGAATTTAGACACACCAAAGACCTTAGCTTCCCTTTAAATGTGCTAATGTTAAGCAAGTCACCACCAATCCACCACAAACAAAGTAAACTTTAAAAACTTTAAACCCAACAAAATTCAGAAGTTTTTAAGCTTAACCAAAAAAAAAGTAAAAAACCTGAAGCTCCAACAACACCAAGGGGGCATAACTAAAGGGCTTAGGGACTAACTACACTAAATGAAAAGAATCCCAAAATGGAAACTTAGTAATTTACCAATAAAATGGTGATGCTTTTAAGACCAGGAAATAATTATTTGATATTTTAAATCTTATAACCCTTTTAAAAAAAGTAAAATAAAGTCCTAAAGACAATACAAAGTTTTTAGAAGCCTTTTAATGAGAGCTAAACAATATAATGAAGATAATACAAAGTTTTGAACTAGAAGCCTTTTAATGAGAGCTAAATATGATCCTAAAGACAATTCAAAGTTTTGAACAAAAGGAACAGAAATTTGAACTCTAAGAGGCCACCAGCTTAAGAGTGTACAGGAACTTAAGAAAAAAATATTTTATACAAGGAAAAATTTCAAGAAAGTGTAATAATATACATTTTGCTACCAAAAGATATAAAAGATTTTAAATATTAACAGAATTATGGCAGACAATTTTATGTAGGATAGTTGTCAACAAGAAAAAGAAATTCAGTGTTTGATGACTGGAATATAAATTGATTGCATTCTTAGATGTGCAAAATAACATGGCAAATAAAGGAGCAGTTGAAAAACAAGAATCAAGATAGCAAGATTTTTTAGAATTTCAAATAAAGGAGGAGTTGAAAAGCAAGAATCAAGATAGCAAGATTTTTTAGAATTTCAAATAAAGGAGCAGTTGAAAAGCAAGAATCAAGATAGCAAGATTTTTTATAATTTCAAATAAAGGAGCAGTTGAAAAACAAGAATCAAGATAGCAAGATTTTTAAAATTTCAAATAAAGGAGCAGTTGAAAAGCAAGTATCAACCAAGCAAGATTTTTTAGAATTTCAAATAAAGGAGCAGTTGAAAAACAAGAATCAAGATAGCAAGATTTTTTATAATTTCAAATAAAAGAGCAGTTGAAAAGCAAGAATCAACCAAGCAAGATTTTTTAGAATTTCAAATAAAGGAGCAGTTGAAAAAACATAACATGAATAAAGATAGCAAGATTTTTAGAATTTCATATAAAGGAGCTGTTCAAAAAACAAGAATCAACTAAGCAAGATTTTTTCAAAATTTCAAGTTAGAATCAAACAAAATAGTACCAAAAAAAAAAGAAGTGGAGCATCCTAGAAAAATAAAGAAAATTGGACTGAGATTCCATCAAAGGAGTTATGGCACTTGTGTGCTCCCTTACAGTTGTTGCGAATATTTATCCAAAGATGGAAGGGAATCATTGAAGGGTAGATTTTGTTAGAAGCTACTTTAACTGGGAGTTAAAGCATGAATAAAATCATGACTAGAAAAGTTATTTTTTAATATTATCTGTTGTGTTGAAATATGCAGCATTTTAAATTTTCTTAACCCTTGTTGTAGACTAGCCTGACTATTGCAATCAGAATGTAGTCTAGAGTTGTCATCAAATACTGACCATTGCAAGGTGATGTTTTCTCCAGGGTTCTAACTATCAGCCTGTCCACTGCAGGGATGTGACATTCATTGGAATAGGGTCACTAGTTATTTGAAATTTTCTTTCATTGGAATGGGGTCACTAGTTATTTGAAAATTTTTTTTGACGAGCTTAACCAATGAAAGTTAGAATTAATCTAAGGTCAGTCTATCAGCCTGATAACAGAATGTGATAGCTCTGACTAATTACAGAATGTGATACACTGTCTGGGTACAGAATTTGATAGCTCTGACTAATTACAGAATGTGATACACTGTCTGGGTACAGAATGTGATAGTCACCCTGACATTGAGAAAACTTTTTACTGATTCTGACATATTTTATTTGCATATTCATTACAAGATTGTTTAGAAAAATATAATGCACATTCTTAAAGAAAATGCACAACAGATAATACTAAAATAAAATTCTGCCACCCTATGTAATGGTTTTAATATTTTTTAGAGTTGCACTAGACATAGGAAAGATATAATAGGGTAATTGAATTGGAGAAGTAGCTAACAGATGTTAATGATAGAAAGCAAACCCATGATAGTTTTATAATGAAGAAATAAATGAAAAGAAAATACAGCTGGTCATCAGTGGGGCCTGCTGGAGAGAATTGGCCTGGAAAAAATTGGCCTGGAAAAAATTGGCCTGGAAAAAATTGGCCTGGAAAAAATTGGCCTGGAGAGAAATATAGCTGTTGGATCATACTCCGCAAGCAGAGAATGTTGAATATAGCTGTTGGATCATACTCCGCAAGGAGAGAATGTTGAATATAGCTGTTGGATCATACTCCGCAAGCAGTGAATGTTGAATATAGCTGTTGGATCATACTCAGCAAGGAGAGAATGTTGAATATAGCTGGTGGATCATACTCCGCAAGCAGAGAATGTTGAATATAGCTGTTGGATCATACTCCGCAAGGAGAGAATGTTGAATATAGCTGTTGGATCATACTCCGCAAGCAGTGAATGTTGAATATAGCTGTTGGATCATACTCAGCAAGGAGAGAATGTTGAATATAGATGTTGGATCATACTCCGCAAGGAGAGAATGTTGAATATAGCTGTTGGATCATACTCCGCAAGGAGAGAATGTTGAATATAGCTGTTGGATCATACTCCGCAAGGAGAGAATGTTGAATATAGCTGTTGGATCATACTCCACAAGGAGAGAATGTTGAATATAGCTGTTGGATCATACTCCGCAAGGAGAGAATGTTGAATATAGCTGTTGGATCATACTCCGCAAGGAGAGAATGTTGAATATAGCTGTTGGATCATACTCCGCAAGGAGAGAATGTTGAATATAGCTGTTGGATCATACTCCGCAAGCAGAGAATGTTGAATATAACTGTTGGATCATACTCAGCAAGGAGAGAATTCACCAGGACAGAAATGTGGCTGGTGGATTATATTCCACACGATGAAAATGTTTATTATAGCTGGTGGATCATACTAAAAGGATTTTGATTAAAGCTGGTGGATCATACTCTACCATGATTAAGAAAGAGAAACTGACAAAACTTGACAATAGCATATCAACCATTAAACTTTCACCCTACCATGATTAGGAGATCAAGAGAAACTAATTTAAATCTATAATTAAATTTGCATTCTCACATGAAAGACACAATGTTGCCTATAATCTTTAAAAAGTTAATGCAAGTTGGCCACCTTGCATTAACATTTTAAGAAACAAATGACAAATTGTAGCCTCACATGATTAGCAATTTTTGCTGGAACAATCATCTATACTTCTGTTCTATTTTTAGAAAAAAAAATTGTTTCAATAATTATTTTAACTTAGAGCCTATATTGTTAACACAATACTACAGGTTTGAGAACTGCTGATACAATGCCAAAGATTACATTGTTTACACAATAGTATCAGTTTGGGAACTGCTGATACAATGCTAAAGATTACATTGTTTACACAATAGTATCAGTTTGGGAACTGCTGATACAATACTAAAGATTACATTGTTAACACAATATTACAGGTTTGAGAACTGCTGATACTATGCCAAAGATTACAATGTTAACGCAATAGTATAGGAGTGAGAATTGCTGATATAATGCTAAAGATTACATTGTTTACACAATAGTATTGGTTTGGGAACTGCTGATACAATGCTAAAGATTACAATGTTAGCGCAATGCAACAGGTTTGAGAACTGCTGATACTATGCCAAAGATTACAATGTTAACACAATAGTATAGGTTTGGGAACTGCTGATACAATGCCAAATATAACAAT